ACCTTTTGGTTAGCAGCCAAGCTCTTAACCACTTCAGTATCAGAGCTCCATGCTTAGATAGTGACCTCAAAAAGTATATTTTAGCATGGGGAGGAAATAGAGGGAGCCAAGAGATGGGCCATTTGTCAAAGAGGAATTAGTAGAAAGAGGCTAAATGTTTGGAGTTCGGAGATAAAACCTAGAATGGGAATATATGTCTCAAGTAACTGGGATATCCATCAGTAAAAAATATATATTTAGCAAAGAAATCAGTGATGACCAACTTTAATGAATGCTATATAACCTTTCAAATGAGTGTAAGAAGTAGAGAGATAAAAGGAAAAATAATCGTTGGGTTAGGAAAAAATTAACCCTTGGAAAAACCATCAGTCACATCTGCCAATGTGGAAGTTACCTAAAGAACTTTAGGTTACTACTTGGTAAACAATTCTGATAAGGGTAGTAATGATAAATCACAGGGAATGACTCCCCATGCCTCTCATTGGAGGTTACTAGATTGTTGAGCCCTTAATGATTTCCTAAATCTCTAACCCAGGATTCCTGTGAGTCAAAGAGAAACAAGGCCAGAGAGAATAGTGAGGACAGAGGGTGATGTGTGGCTATGGCTTTTAGACATACAGGTCTGAAAGTGAGTGCTGTTATACTGCACGGGTAATACGTTACTGTTATGCCACTGCAGAACCAAAGTACATCCTAGTGGGCTGAAGTACTTACGGGATTACTGAACTTATTTATCAAGTGAGAATTACTTACTAAGGAAACATGAACTGAATTTACATGTGTAATAGAAAATTAGTCTTCCAATCCATGTATTTGTTGAGACACCATTACACAATTCATGGGCAGTATCAGTTAAAAAAAAAAAATTTCACCTGGCACTGTCTTTGGTACATTTTCAGTTCTTGTAAGAGCTTCTGATTTTCATCTTGTAGCTTATTTCTGCTTAATGCTATTTCACTCACAGCCGATTTTAATTTTTCAATAATGAACTCATCTCTTTCACTGGTTTCACAACTAGC